ACTGAACCTGTGTTGGAGCTCTTAATTTTGAACTCTCAAAGTGCACCAGATTTATGAATTTTACTTTAAAATGTACAAAATTTTCTTACGGGGGAGCATGCCCCCGGACCCCCCTAGAGGGATCGAGGACCACCCACCACAGTCTCACAAAATCCTGTGGGAAACACTGTAGTTCAAGCTCACCTCAATTTTATTCAGAGGCAAAAATATGCAATTTTTCTGCAGATGTTATTTATATTGCCAAAAAGTAAGATTCTGTTTTTTACATCAATGAGATCTTTATAACAGTACAGCAGACAATGCATATAAATATGATGTAATTCTATAACTCCCAATAATATCTTAGAAAGATGATATTTAAATGCTTATGACCAAAGCTCTGTAGTTTTAATTGTGAGGAGCAAAATGCAATACATTACAATGATTACTGAGAGACAAACAAATAAACAGTCCTCACAAATCTGTTGTATCACATTTCATACTTTTCTAAACAGATTTTTCTAAATATTAAGTATGGAAAATCAAACAAACCTAAGTTGTTTCAGTCCAGCAAATCCTCATCTTAAAATACTACTAACAATATAAACGCTCTTACGTTTACTTGATAAAAAACATTTTATTAAGCAAAAAGACACATGTAACGCAACCTGAAGATTTTTAGAATTATACTAAATGGCCTTTTACTTTTGAAAAACGTATCAATCAGAGGGAAGAAAGGTATGCAAAATATTGTGTACAACTGGTTTTTCAGCAAAGCTGTGATCATGTTGATCATTTAGAGGCCTTGCATGTGTCAAATATGGTACAGTCGGCTTTGTAGGGTAAAAGTACTCAAATTGTTCTCTGTTTTACATCAATAGACCAAAGGGATGGTTATGTCTTGCATATTAACATCACATTCTTATCACAAATGACAAGACAACTCTGACAAATCAACACATAATCATTTGGCCAGCAGTTACAGGCCTGGTTACACTTCAGGTTGTGTAACATGATTACAGTACACTAAGCTGAAGGAACATATTCCACACCTTACACATACCAGCGTGAAGAAAGATATATTGATCAGGCTACAGCACTAGGCTTAAGGGAACTGAACCTGATCTTCTGAACTCTTACTTGCTTCTACAGTTGGGCATGAAAAGGACTGATGAGGAATTAAACCTCTAAGTCAAGACTTTAAAGCTCCCAAGAAACTATCAAGCCTTTTGAAATCCAGGAAGCCTTTTAATGTCCATCATGCTATTGGACTAACTCAAGGAAACCTGCAAACACAGACAAGCAGCAACGGATCAGTAATGTGATCACAGCCTTTAATACTGAGAGCATCAAACCACAGCAACCAAAGATACACACTCTCATCAGAAGCAAGCATGCAAAACCACATCCAGCTTCTTGATGTGATGCAATTAACCAAGCTTATTCAATAAACCAGAGTAGTTCAAGTCCACCATCGTGAAACATTCTCCTAGCATCAATGCTAACAAAACCACATGTGGAAAGAGAGAAAAGCATCCATGTCTGATGATGATCATGGACACATCATGTGAAAGCAGACCTGATATGCCCATGCATGTCAGGCCTAACCTGGCCCATAAACTCCTCATGAGCTCCATACATCCCATAGAGAGGAAGAGGATATAAATAATGGCTAACTGGCGTTCCTAACACAGACCATGATGATCAGATAGATACACTGGAACAAGGCCAGCATCATGTGCCCCAAACAGAGCATGAATACCGCTGTCAAATCACATTAATGGATGTTGTTTAACGCACGTTTATTGTGTCTTAACCAGATGCTAACCGGCTAACCGTGTTAGCATTCTAACGCACTATCACACAAAAGCTTTTGACTTACCGCTCGCTTCGGCGAACATTAAAACCACTTGAAACTCATAAATGTTCCGGCGGCTGTGGATCCGAGGACGGCGGAGGTACGGCCCGGCTGAGTGTGAGGCTTTTACAGCGTTATATGGTTGGTGTAGTATGAGAGAAAGATGATATATTGTCTCAAGGTTTGCGTGTGTGTGTGTGTGTGTGTGTGTGTGTGTGTGTGTGTGTGTGTATGAGGTTAGTACTGATCAGTGTGTGTAAAGGCTGCTGGTGGAAGTGCGACTCTCTTGACTCTCAGCGCTTCTCGCTCTCCGCCCTGAAACCAGTGAACTGCACGGAAACCTTAGATGAGTCACATTGTGACGGGTTGCACTGAAATATACTATCAGCAGGGGGCGCTATGTGGCCGTAACTTTAGCGCTTTAGTTGACAATTTTGAAATTCCTTCATGGGGATGCGAATTATGGAGCCTCCATCCAGCCAAACCAGGGTTGCCAGGTTTTCAAAAGAAAGCCCGCCCAATCGCTACTCAAAACTAGTCCAAAACTAGCCCAATCGCGTTTCGAGGGGGTCCCAAGTTAAAAATCGCGTTCTGGAGGGTAAAATACACGTTTTTTGGCGGGGTTCCCCTGCAAAAATTCGCATTCCAGGGGATTAATATCATGTCATTTGAGTCGCTTCAACCCGCGGACATGAAAAACAACCCGCGGCACTTTGCTCCGTAATTACAGTCATGCCTGCACCAGCAATTTGTTCCTTGACACAAAGCATAAAAGTCTTTCCTAAACGCCGACCGTACACACGCATATCGACTTTTCGAGGCCATTTTGATCCCTCTAGACTTCCTATCAATAACACGTCCCCGATCAGCCAGTGAACTGCTAAACACAGTCAAGGCAGCAATTAGTGCAAATTAACAGACATTTTCAAAACCGTCTTTGCTCAGAAAATGGCCGCTTTGTAGTTCAAAAACATCCCACTCTAGCCCTCGTGTGGGAGTTCTTCCAGCAATTGCTTAAATCCTAAAATAAGTACTGCAATCTCCAGGCACAGACACACTGTGATGCTTTAAAAACAATTTAGAAACTGTCATCGTTGTAATTACAGTAACTAATTACCATCCTCGGCAAACAAATAGCTTAGCATAATACGGCAGTCCAATCTATTTTGAAGAAATGCAAATTCCGAGCGCAAAAGGGGGGCATTTTGGCAAACCTGAAAAGGAATTCCGGAAATAATGCACTTTTTTTATCCACACATAATTCCCAGGGAATATCATATCGTAAATATTTGCATTCAGTTCTTATCGGGACATTTGCATTTGCCTCTTATCAGCTGGCAAACCAGGCACCAGCAGATAGCGAGAGCTGCTTCCACGCCATACACACATTTCTAATGAGACACGTCCCAGGCTGATATCATATTTTGGCTAGAACTTTATCGCCAAAACGAGGAGGTCATTTTCTCGTAGAGTTGGCTCATCTTGGAGCTGTCTTTGAGTTGTTGCTTTTTTCTCTCATTTGATGTGATTCAACTCCGATTCATTTTTTTAAAAGCCCTAAAAAAAAAAAAGGATTATTTCTTTTCTTCTCGCAACTACCTGCTATCAGTGGCACGTATGCTAGCGGTGATTATCACCACGTCACAAAATATTTCAGTTTTATCTGTGTATTATTTTATTTGCCACTGCATCATCCCTTGAAGGAGGGATGGGATGGGGGGGTTAAATGCATGTTTTTTGGTGGGGTTACCCTGCTAAAATTTGCATTCCAGGGGATAAATATCATGTTATTGGAGCCACTTCAACCGGCGGACATGAAACACAACCCGCGGCAACAGTGTTAAAGTAGCCCAATTCCGCGGGAAAACCACGGACTTGGCAACACTGCCCCAAACGATAGTCAAACAGCTGGGGGTCTCACAGAGTGCGAAGAGGTAACCATAGCGACGTGGAGCACTTTCCAGCGCGGGACGAACTTCAACAGATTGAGCCTGAATAATACGCCTACAAAAACAACCTGCAACATTTCTGAGGAATCTCATTCCTTGTTTAGAGATTTCTTAGAAATATCAAAATATGTTTTATTCGTTAATAAAATTGATGAATTGTTGACTTCTCCTATTCTTTTTTATATTATGCACAAATGATTGTCAGAGTTTACAAGACAACAGTTCGAATATGGTTCGGTTTTGTATGATTTTATTTTGTGGTGTAATAGGATGAAATTAGATCTGAATGTGTCAAAAACTATGAAACTATGATGATCATCAATTTTAACAAGAAAACCCTTGCACTTCAAAGGTGGTCATTAATGACACACAGGTGGATGTAGTAGAGGAATATATGTATTTAGGAACGATTATTGATAACAGGTTGAAGTTTGATACGAATTAAAAAGTCACACCATAGTTTGTTTGTGCTGAGGAAGCTTAACTCTTTCAATGTAGCCTATAGAGAGTTATTCTCAGGTCTTTTTTATAATTAATTTGTTGAAAGTATCCTGTCCTTTTCTTTTATTTGTTGGTATTCATTATTGTCTATAAAGAATAAAAAACGTTGGCATCGTTAATACGTGCTCAAAAATGATGGGTGTTTCCTTGCGAAGTCTTACATTTTATTATGAACAGCAAGTGATGAGGATGGCACACAAAATAACAGGAGACAGCACACACCCTTTGCATTATTATTTTGATTGGATGCTCAGATGTTTCAATTTTCTACAAACCGTTACAAATGTACGTTTGTGCCTGAAACAATACGTTTATGTAATGAATTTAGTTGATTTTTTTCTTGCCCCCCCTTTTTTTTTTTTTTTACATTTTTTTAATGTATTTTGAGTATTTGTATGTGTGTTTAATTGTTGATTGTATATGTGAAGCACCACGGCAGTCTAAGCTAATTGCCCCAAGGACATTAATAATTCATACAAATAATAAACATACGCAAAAAAAAAAAAAAAAAAAAAACCCACACACAGGAAACAAACAAACAATAAATAATGTAGCCTACTGAATATTCATTTAAACTATTTAAATGAATAGGCTAGTTAAAATTAAAATCATGTCATAATTTAGGTTACTGACCGTTATGTTGCTCCAATCAATATGACTCTCTTCCTTTCGCTTTTGTGAGAAAAAAAAAAATCCCGAAAAGAAAAGCTGAAAAATCTTACATCAGCATGCGTTCGACGGAAAAATATAGAGTAAACAAGTTATTCATTGTAAAATGTATTCAATTGTATTAAGAAAGAAAGAAAGAAAGAAAATAAACGAAAATACTTTATGACGTTTAATATCACGTGACAAGTATTTGCCCAATCAGTGGTAACTGTAAAGGTGCGGAAATAGTATTTGTTGCAAACTTGTTGTCTTTTCTAGGTTTTAAGTGCATTTCTAATATCAAAACAACCGCATTCTTGTAGTCACTGGACGATTTTATATTGTGGAGGACTTTGCATTTTCTGACAGGGTTTTTTAAAATTTTTTTAAGCGAACCTATTTTGTATGGTCCATTTGAAAGTTATTTTTATATCGCTCGTAACTGAAATGGCATAATTTTCCATGCTTTCTAAACCGTGCGCAAATCGCGTCCAAATGCATCCAGAGTTAAATGGTTCAACTGAACTTTTCAGCTTTTTTACAGTAGCCTAACCCTCTGTTATCTTTGTATCTCCATATATGATGCATTGCACCTTCATCACATATATATAAAAAAAAATGCTTTCACATTATGCAACTGTGTGAGAAAACATCGTTTTTTAGCGGAACACATCCATTCAAGTAGTAAACCCTACAGGCCGTATGAAATCATAGTTACCCTTACGAAAAATAAGTTTATTCAAATGCTCATTTACTGAGACTATACTTCAGTGTACTAAAAATGCTACTACAAGTATTTAATTAGTAAACTATCAGAATACCTATAAGTTCACTTTTAGTATAGTTGCAGTACAAACTAAACATTTTGATGTAAACTAGGTGTGTACTTAAAGTTTACTACTGTTATACTTAAAGTATACTTAAAAGTATACTTTTATATACTAGAAAGTGGGCCAATTTAGTCCCAAGGAGTATTGAAATAGTACACTTACAAGTATACTACTTGTAAACTGATATTTGTATACTTACTACATAAAGTATACTTAAAGATATACTTGAACTTTACTTACTAAAATAAACTTGAAGTATACTACTTTTTGGTAAGGGTATGAATAATTAATGAAACTATTGTAGAACAAACATGCATTTGGAACAGCGATCAGCACAGCAGTGTGACACATTTGATCGAGTTATAGATTACAGTTGCAGAACAGTCATAGCCTGGTTCTTGAGACACGGAATTGCAAAGGTTCTTATCAAAGATGTAATAAAACTGCAGTTCACTGGAGAGAGATGCGGGTCAATGCCACATGAATACAAGGCATTACCATCAGTTTCTTGAAACGAAGAAGGTTTATTGTACAATAGTGCACACTGTTTTAACACTGCGAGGAATATATATTAAATTCAGAATTTATTTTCACATTCCACTTAATTATTGAGTAAATGGTTTTTGAAACTATCTACCGCCATCTACTGGTCAATAGTGGTACTCTTTGTATTTAAAGAGCCCTTCATTGCAACGGTTTACCTCAGAATAAACACTAACGTTAATTAAATGTATGAGATTAGCATTAGCATATTAGAATATACATAGGCGCTGATAAGTCACGTTTGTGATTAAAAGATAGGCCTACATTTTTACTGGTAAGCCGCCGTCATGATTTTTTCTGAACGCATTGATATTGTTGTTGTCCCTCAAATGGGCTCTAGAGGGTATTGTGTTACCGCGTAGAATCGACGAGAATGTACAAACTCATTCATTGAGAGCCTTTGAGAGACAAATTAATAATTATCGAAACACCAGACTCATAAAGCAATAAAGCAACACTATGTAACTTTTGACGCTCTAGCGGTTAATCACGTTTGTGATTAAAAGATAGGCCTACATTTTTACTGGTAAGCCGCCGTCATGATTTTTTCTGAACGCATTGATATTGTTGTTGTCCCTCAAATGGGCTCTAGAGGGTATTGTGTTACCGCGTAGAATCGACGAGAATGTACAAACTCATTCATTGAGAGCCTTTGAGAGACAAATGAATAATTATCGAAACACCAGACTCATAAAGCAGCACTATGTAACTTTTGACGCTCTAGCGGTTAATAAACAGTACTGCACACATCCCGCGGAAGAACATTCCAACCGGAGCTACTTCGCTAAGTTTATGTCTATGGCGATTCACGCAGGTATGTGTAACTTACTCCGCAGCGGTGACGACCCGACCAGGCTACAATAGTCCAAATATAAGTACTTATTATAAGTGTACCGTAGTGATTCGGAATAAGACAAAAACTTGGGTTGGAAGATGAATTCATGATGTAATCGCTCAATATATACATTTTGCAAATTTTGAACACAGAAAAAGTTACATAGTTCTGCTTTAAATCCTGGCATAAATAATGTTAGGTCATTCAAAGAAGATCAGTAGCCTGGTCAGGCCATACAATTTTTATATGTGTTCATATGACAAATATCTATAGCAACTATAGAGCACAATCCCTGTGGCATTATGGAATTTATATGGATATTATTATTTTGATTAGTTGGTTGATAAAATGGATTTCTAAATTACAATCACACCCGAGAGTTTAATGATTAATAGTATTCATTCAGTATTACTTTATAGCCAATACACTCAAACATACAATCTTCATAAAGTTCCATTTATAATATAGTTATACTCGCATAAATGTAAAGTTTATTATAAAGTTTAAATCAATCAGCATATGGTTACATGTGCCGTCAGACAATCTTTTCGTAAGTTATCTGACTAAGTAAATACACAAATAAGGACATGATTTTCCTATTATTTGTGTTTCATTGTGTGCTCTCATATAAGGCTTTCGATTGTTGCGATGCTCTCGCGATAACACACGAATGTAAACTTCAGACTGATTAGCGGCGATAAAATCTCGCGAGGTTTTCTCGTCTGAGCTCAGTCATAGCTGTGGGTGGAGACTTCTCCAGTAGCTGGGTTAATGCTCGCAGAATACGCGCAACGGAGTCGAATTTGCGCTACGTAGCGATACAATTAAGCCGACACGCGATCTGTTAATCATAATGGTAAATGAACACATCGTGTATTTAGCTTAATAACCTCGGAAATGCTGCGTTTGTACGATGTAAAGATGTAAAGGATCATTGGCACTGGTTTACTGGAGCTGCTGTTGAAACTGTGTATCCGCAGTGAACATCACTTCGTCCTGGCTCACCTTTTCCACAGGTTTGTAATGCATGTGCTTTCCCATATGGTTTGATATATATTATTAGTTGTGTCTCATGGGAAACTTAATGCAAAAAGTTTTTTTTTCTCCCCACCAGCAGAAGCTAGATGCTTCGTTGACTTAGATGATTTAAAGTCTAGATATCTCAAATCACTGCTCACGTCATGATTTAACAACTCTAATATATTATAATATATATCTAAATCATTGCTTAAGACTAGCGTTATTAAATTGCTACCTGTTGTGTTGAACGGGAGAATATAGCTATATAGATTCATAGATAGATATATCATATTGCATTTGAGTGCTTGTATTGCAACTATAAATCATTTGCACTCAAGTGAGAGTCAGATCTGCTTGAATTATCAGGACAGAATAAATTATATCATGTCATTGCTGATACACTAAAAAGAGTGGCTTTTTAATAATATAAAAAATAAAACGAGATGCAAAGGACGAATCTGGAGGGACAGCACTGGATGTAATGCCACCACTGTTATGGATAAGCATTTAACAGAAATAAACAATGCTAGGAGGACAGCCTTTTTTAAAACATTTTTCCCCCCAGATGTTAATGCTTTCTGACCGTTACATTGGATCAACATTTTTTTGTTGTTGTTGTTTTGTTGTCAAGGTGCCTGCCAGTCATTGTCAAAACTACATAGAACACAGGTCTGAATCCTCTGCGACATCATAACCCAATCTAAAACACTGTTTAACCAGGACATTGTTGTAGAGATATGACAAGAATTAGGCATTCCTTAAAAATGCCAAAATAACAAGTTTGATATAGTCTTTGCAACTTTACAGATCTTCTTTATGCACCAAGAGCTTGTAACACTCCAAAGAGAAAGGAAAAATTGAAATCGCATCATATGACCCCTTTAAAGTCAAGATGAAATCTGATCTTTAATCAAAATGTAGTAACTTTATCTGTTACGCACCTGATGTCATAAAGGGGATGATTGCACAGCATTTAAGTGAGACACAACCATTGCAGTGTGTACAAATAACAGACAGCCAATGAAATAAAGGAACAAGCACCAAGGTGTCTCATTTATTAGTGAGAGTGCAGTTAATTTTACAAACTATATAAATATAAAAAGAAACAGAAACACAGAGGGGAAAACAAGAGTGTCGCCAAATCAAAGAAATAATCAAAAGCAAACAAGCCCCGTAACTATTGACTAGGCATGGGCCAATTACTGATTTCAAGGTATACTGCGATTTGAACATTTCACGGTTTCAAAACCACTAATGTTTTCCGTTATACCGTTCCTGCGATATGTGCTGTTTTTCATGCCTCCTCAAAGACTGAAAGTGTAGGAATCCCTCAGGTTGAGTGCAGTGTAGAGAGTAACACGACCCTCCTCCTCCTGTTGGTGCGATCGCGCGCATGGTCAGTCACGTGTGTGTAGGATGGCCGAACTTAAAGGGATAGTTCACCCAAAAATGAAAATTTGATGTTTATCTGCTTACCCCCAGGGCATACAAGATGTAGGTGACTTTGTTTCTTCAGTAGAACACAAACGAATATTTTTAACTCAAACCGTTGCAGTCTGTCAATCATATAATGTAAGTGAATAGGAATCACGGCTTTGAGAGTAAAAAAAAACACAAACAAAACCAAATTAAACCCTGATGGCCGAAGCTGCCCATGAAACTCACGCAATTGGCAACCGGCCGTTTTTTTGTCTTATTGCAGCTCGTCTCTGTTCTGGACTTGCACAAACTGCATTGCAATGCAATCATTTTCCAAAATGTCATTTATGTGAAAACATGAAGTCTGTAAACGCCCGTTAAGGCCAGAGAGACGCTGAAGATGGATGCACAGAGAAAAATACTGTAGCAGGCAGATCACTCATTGTTCATGATGCACGAACTATTGGTTTGTAGTAAAATGCATGTGAACAGTAGCCTACTTTTTGATCAGTAATATTCAGGAAATAATAGACATTGAATGGATCTTTGAACTTATTTGCAGGTTTTTTTTGTCTTTTTATCCTCATTCCAAATGATCAGAAGAGAGGAAACCAACAATAAAACAGGAGAAAGTTCTAAATTACTAACAGGCTCATCAAAGCGTTTGATCCAGTCATGAGTATTTACATTTTTGTAAGGCATAAAACATTCATTTAATTTATCTTTTAAATAATGAAAATTAAACACATTTTTTGGGGGGGGGAAAATAAAGGGGATTTAATATTACAATTAAAATATTGCAGAAATATTGTATGATTATTCCTTAAAAATAAGGTTTTAATAGTTTTAGTAGTAGTAGTAGTAGTAGTAGTAGTAGTAGTAGTAGTATTACGTACATTCTACTGAACAGCAGTAATATATTTCTGCCGCAATGCCTTAAAGTAAAACTGAACTTTTATTTTGACGGGTTGCCGTGAATACCTTCACATTTCCGTGTGTATGTGATATGAGGATAGTTTTACTCAAATGAAACGGTCAAATGCTCATGAAGTGACTCTCAGAGCAGTTCGAGGCCTACATTCTACTGAACAACAGTAATATATTTCTGCCGCAGTTAAACCGAACTTTTATTTTTATGGGTTGCCGTGAATACCTTTACATTTCTGTGTGTATGTGATATGAGGATAGTTTTACTCAAATGAAACGGTAAAATGCTCATTAAGTGACTCTCAGAGCAGTTCTTGAGATGTTGTTCATGTATTTATGTCCTCATTAGTGAGACGGCAGACGTTAATATCACTGGAAGTGTGCGCTTCAGTACGAGTAGTAAGCAAAACCGCGAGTCTGCGCCTTTCTTTAATAGCTATAACTCATCCGTTTAAATTATATTAAGCCTTAAAGTTCTGCATAATTAAGGGGGTGGCCACTTGAGTGACAGGTGGATTGCCACTGCTGTCTGCCGTCGCGCTAGGTGGGCGTGGTTTTAGCAACCAGCTCCCGCCTCTTTGCCCATTTTCGATTATCCGGGAGTGACGCGCTGCCAAGATGGCTCCGCCCGGCTCCGCCCACTTTGAGCTTCAAAAACGCTCTTCAGAAATCTACGGGTGACGTCACGGACACTACGTCCATGTTTTTATACAGTCTATGGTGTGCGCGTGCATCGGGGCGTAACTCCACTGTGCGTGATACAGAGAGCGCGACCATTTAAAGTAGAGACAGAAATGACATGCCGTCGTGTAAATAAGATAAATAACATAAGGCTATTAGTTTGTTTAAAGGGGTCATATGATGCGATTTCAAATTTTCCTTTCTCTTTGGAGTGTTACAAGCTCTTGGTGCA